TGTGTGTGTGTTAGTGTGTGTGTGTGTGTGTATGTGTGTGTGTGTGTATGTATGTATGTATGTATGTATTTATGTGTGTATGGATGGACGAATGTTTGTACGTATATTTATGTATGTATGTGTATGTATTTTGCTATGTACTTTCATAGACACCAGACAAATTATAAATCTATCAACTTATACATACACCAATGTGTATATGTACACATAAAAAACGAATCAGATACTCCTAGACGCTGCAGTAGTACAAGTTCACTAGGTGTGCGTCCCACTGATATCATCCCGTTGCCCTGTGTATTGTTGCTTACGTTGTGTGTTGCTTCCCCATCCGATTCGAATGGTGGTACGGGTTTTCGTAATCGCCTGTGGACATTCTGTGTGATTACCTGCGCCTATGCAAAGTCTCGACTAGTGCGATATCTGAGAACACACGGGTTGTTATTATTATTATTTGGTTTGAAAGTATCTCTACTAGAGTTGTTGTACTGGGGTTAAACGGTTAAAGCGGCAGCAAGTTTGTAGTGGTGTGTAGACACAAAAGGTTTTTGTTGACAGTTTCTGTGTTTGTTTACGTATGCCCGCCTGCTTCTAAAATTAGAACGACGCAATTCTTGGGTCTCGGGTTTTTTTCAATTTCCTCTCTAAAAAAATATGTGTCCCACTTTACACCTATCATCCACCTATCAACAAATCATCCATATTGTTGAACTCAAAATCGTGTCAAATACGACCTATACTATTTTTAGGGCAGACTTTTTTTTCGTTCTTTTTGGACTTTTAAAAAAATATGTAATTACATTTGATATGTAGAGATATTTAGGTATAATAAATCCCGATCCGAAAAAAAGCCAATCTCTATTTTTATTGATATTTTTTAACTATTTATTAGGACGTTAAAGTTTTTATTATTTTATAATTTAGAGAAGCGTACATACACAGCTACATCCTGGTTCACAGTACAGTCCACGACTTCAACTGTATGTGCATACCTCACGACTTCAACTGTATGTGCATACCTGCCTCACCATCTTTATGTATTACACACTATCACCTAAGGCCCTTATGTATATTCCCATAAATATTTTAATACCATCCCCCACAGACCCACTCAACACCGCATTCTATTCTATGTCCACATCATTCACACGTTCACACGTTGAACCTCCATCGCATCACACGTTGAACCTCCATCGCGTCTATTAAATCTCAGAGACTCAGCGTCCACGCCTTTGACACTCATCCGATCAATGCAATTAACATATGTAGTCTAAAACGACTATTTTAACATAGTCCAATAAGTCTACGGCCTATATCTTTACGGATCTCCTAACGTCAACGCCATTTAATACGTCGAACATCACCGCTATTCAATCATCGACCCTATTAAATTTATCGTATTACATCAATCTTAATGCGTCAACCTTATTGCATCATCAAACTTAACACAGCATCAATCTCGCTATATCATCGACCTTACTACATTTACCTTATTACATCCATCTTAATACGTCAACCTTATTGCATCGTCAAACTTAACACAGCATCAATCTTATTACATCATCGTCCTTACTACATTTACCTTAATACTTCCATCTTAATACGTCAACCTTATTGCATCATCAAACTTAACACAGCATCAATCTTATTATACCATCGACCTTGATACATTTATCTTAATACATCCATCTTAAAACGTCAACCTTATTGCATCATAAACTTAACACAGCATCAATCTTATTACATCATCGACCTTACTAAATTTATCTTAATACTTCCATCTTAATACGTCAACCTTATAGCATCGTCAAACTTAACACAGCATCACATTTAATACATTCTTAATCTTTGAATACACTTTAATCTGTTCTCTCAACTCCCCTCCATGACTTAATCTCTCAGACCACCACTCTAAAAACGATCCCCGAAAGCATTGACATTTCGACCAATGAATTTGGAATTGGATCTAAAAATTGTATATCCGAGATGAAATAATACACATTTATGTCTCCAGTACGCGTTAACATAGTACGCGTTAACACCCGCCGCAGTGTGGCAGAGGTATTGGTGGCATCCACTAATCCCTTCTTTACTATTGTGTGTATCTTGTACTTAGTTGAGGTTTTCCCTTCACAACACAAGTTCAGGATGCAACTTAAAACGTCCAGTCTAGTTGTGGACGATAGGTTCGATTGGGTGTAGACAGGAGACTTTAGTGTAGATACACATTCCAATAATGCCTCTTCAACCAAGGCAGCCATTTGCACCTTGCACCTTGCACCCAACAAAATGGACAGGGCCATCCGTGACCAATGTGGTCCCATGGGTGAACACCGTGGCAGTTAAGTCATGGACGTGGGTGCTTACTAGGCATTCATGTGAGGTTGAAATGTGTGACACGTTGTTGTGCACGAGAAGACGCAGATGAGGTGTAGCACCATCCAAACAGTACCGTTTCGCCGCAGATGTTAATAGTCACGTCTGGGTATGTATATGCAGACTCGGGATACTACGTCTATCCTGGTCAAGAATAGCATTTAAATCTACACCGACATCTACATCTGCAGTTACATACACATCTAAATCTACATCTACATCCACACCCACATCTGCATCTACATCTACATCTACATCAAAACCCACATCTACTACATCTGCATCCACACCTACACCTACATCTACATCTACATCTACATCTACATCTTTATCTGCTGCTACAGCTACAGCCACAGCTACAGCTACAGCCACAGCTGCATGTGCATGGGTATCACATTTGCCTGCGTTAGAAGGCTGTGGTCTCACTCTCCCATCCCACAGTCCACCCTCGTCACAGCTCTGCGGTGTGTGACGAAATGCTCCTCTGCCAACCGCAGAATTTCATTCAGGTCTATGTTAGGGATCGGTATTCTCTCGTTGCCATGGTAACGATACGAGTCCTGCATAGCAACGATGTGCGGTGTCTATCAATAGGAATTGTATTGCGATCGCTAATATGATAGTGTGTATGTGTGTGTTGTGCATATGGTGCCATGTTGTGTGTCGCATATTCAAAACATGTGTCGTATATACAAAACGTATGTCGCATATTCAAAGTGCTATTGGGGCGGGCCTATATCACATATCAAACGTAGTTAAGTGTGTGGAAGCTCGCTACATTCAAATGACACATCACGCGTACTGTAAGCTCGAGCAAACCTCACCACAAGCCGTGCATATACCATTGTAGTCACACACAGTTGCACTACATATAACCAAATGCGTTTTAACTAAAAGCATACTGACTAATATCTCTGACTATCACACGCATTTCATGCGTCTGCCAATGGCTATAGTAGCAATATATATATATATATGTGTGTGTGTGTGTGTGTGTGCGTGTGTGTGTGTGTGTGCGTGTGTGTGTGTGTGTATCTATATATATACATATATATACTTATATATATATATATATATATATTTATATATACATATATATATATATATATA